TGGGTGAATCCATGAATGATCGTTTTGGACTTCCATACCATTTTTCCAATGTTTATCGCCCGACACCTGGGTTATTGAAACTCTCTTCTAGAGCCATGAATGACATCATTTCTTCACTATTCCAGGGCATCCACAGAACAACAACAACAATTTATATGGCACCTTTCACTTAATAGCATTTCTCTAGTCTCTTTGTATCAAAAACAAACTTTAACACTGAGCCACAGAAGCTCCTTTCGAGACAGGTGACCAACAGCTTGATCAAAAATGTGGACTGTAAGGTATGTCTCAAAGGAGAAAAAGGCAGAAGAAAACTGAAAGGTTTACAGAGGCAACTCCAGGGCTTAGGGGTCAGGTAGCTGAAGCCATGGTCACCGATGTTAGATGTTCGAGAGAATAGAATTCACACAGTGACCTCAATGAGCTGTAAGGCTGGAGAATATCACTGAGCTGAGCATAAAGGCCAAGATTGCCATGGAGTTTGAAACCAAGGAAGAGAATTTCAAAATTGAGGTGTTGCTGATCAGGCAAACAACCTGGGTCAACAAGCATAGTTTTAGAAAGGTGACCAAGGCATGGTTAGGAAATGGGTAGCAGAGCTTGCAGAGGTTAGAAGCCAACTAGGAGAGCACTGGAATAGTCAAGTTGAGAGGTAATGAAGGAATGAATGATGGTTTCAGCTGCAAATGAATTGAAGTAGATTTGAATTATGTTGCAGAGTGGGAAATAGTGATGGCACAGAAATATGGTTGAAAGTTCATTGCAAGGTCAGAGATTATGAACACTTTGGTTTAGCATCAGCCAGTTGCCAAGGAGGGTATTGGAGCTAGTGGCTAGGAAACAAAGTTTGTGCTAATATCTTTTGTCTTCCCAATGTTTAGAGGAATTTTTTGCTCATCCAGGCCTGGACATCAAACAAGCAATTTGACAGTTAGTAAATAAAAGACGGATAAATAAAGATGGTGCTGAGATAGAGCCTGGGTACATGTGAAAATTAATGTATTTGTGAAGGATGACACTGATGGGCAGGAAGGAGGTGTGAAATAGGAAGAGGCTACCAGAGGTAACAGTGCAGGAGGGAAAAGAGAAGCCATTGCAGGTGATACTGTTGAGGTGACCGGATAGATATAAATGGAAGCAGGCAACTTCAGAACTATTTGGCTGGATGAGAGTGGAGAGCCATTGGAGCAGAATTTCATAGTCATAAAGTTTGCAGACAGGTCAAGAAGGATGAAATGGGATAACTTACGTTTGTCACAAATTGTCATTTGTGACCTTTTTATTCATTCACAGGCAGACGGCTGTGCTGGCCAGGCCATATTTATTGTCCAGCCCTAAGTGTCAACCACTTTGCTGTGGGTCTAGAGGCACACGTAGGCCAGACCAGGTAAGGATCCTTCCCTAACAGACATTAGTAAACCAGACAGATTTTTCTGACAATCAGCAAGGGATTCATAGTCATCATTATACTTAATACTAGAGCTGTTTGGTAACAGCTGTTTCAGTACAGTGGCAAGGGTGGAAACCTACTTGGAAGGATTCAAATAAAGCTGGATACTGATTTGGGTGGCAACAACATGTTGAAGGGCTTTGGAGAGGAAAGGGTGGTTAGAATGGCTAAATATATTACAAGGATGAAGGAGTTAGGAGTTGTTGTTTGGGAGGAGAGGTGATGACAGCAGGTTCACTGAGGGAGTGCAGCAGTAGCTAAAGAGAGACAATCATTCACACTATTAACTAACATGGACACCAGAAAGGGAAGTTGGGTGATCAGCAGCTCAGCAGATTTGGGATTGAGGGAGCAGAGTGTGGGTGGCATAGATAAGATCAGCTCAGAGATGGCATGAGGGGAGACTGGAGAAAAAGTAGAGAGCTATGCAAGCTTTGGTCCAGGACAGAGAGCCCTTTAGGCAATGACTGATCTGGTGGGTTACAGGAAAAGTGGAAAGCAACAGAGGCAGCTGATTGGATGGTCTCAGTTTTAGTGATAAATATGCTGATGAGCTCCTGACACTTGTTGAAAGTGAGAGTGGAATAGAAAATGGAGGTTTGAAGAGATTGTTTGTAATTGAGGAAAGAGAAGGCTATTATCCTGGCATTCCAGGATAGTCAGCAACTTTAGCAGATGAGAACAGAACCCAAAGATGCTGTGTGTGGTCCAGCCAGATATGGCAATAAATAATTAAACAAGTTTGTCCATCATATTCATTCAAGTCTGCATCTCTTAGGGTTAAAGGAATAGGGATGAGAGCCAGACCAGGGAAATAGCCAATGTGTAAGAGCAGACTGGTTTTAATTGAGAATAGAGCATCAAAGATGGAGTTGAGAGTGCAATTGAGCAAGTTGGTAGTTGCAGAAATATCTTTGTGAATGGAGGGGCAAAGGCTGAACAATTCAGATATTGTACGTAAAGTTGTAAATGCATTAGGAGGGCATATTATAATAAGGACAGTTATAGAAGATATGGAGTCGGAAAGAGAAAGGGGATATGAATGGAACGGATAGATTTTGCAATTAGCAGTGAAGAAATAGCATTTGCTATTGATCTCAAAGTAAGCGGTTCACTGGATCTAGCCACCTCTGCAGCATGTATTTCCCCTTTCTGAATGAGTCTATGCTAGAGCCAAGTCAAAGGGGGTCTCAAGACCTTGTTACACCTCAATAAATAAAGCAAAACTTTTTGAAGGATTTTCACAGTGAGACTGAGCGCATTAATGCAGAGTTCATAAAAATATAAGTGATGGGAGCAGCAGTAGAACATTTGCTGGTTGAGCTTGTTCTTCCATTCGATGGTCATGGCTGACCTTGGGCTTCAACTCCACTTTCCTGTTCCCTCATATCATTTGGTTCCCTGACAGACCAAAAATCTGTCTATCCCAGCCTTAAGTATCTTTTCTGATAGCACATCCACAATTCTTTGTAGGCAGAAATTTCCAGTGATTCACACACCTCTGAGTGAAGAAATTTCTCCTCATCTCAGTCATAGAGTTATACAGCATAGAAACAGACCCTTCGGTTCAACTTATCTGCACTGACCAGATATCCTAAACTGACCAAGTCCTGTTTGCCAGCATTTAGTGTATATCCTTCTTAATTCATGTACCCATCCAAATGCCTTTTAAATGTTGTAGTTGTAACCTTTGCCACCTCCTCTGGCAGCTCATTCCGTATACACACCACCCTCTACTTGAAATAGTTGCCTGTCAGGTCCCTTTTTTAAATCTTTCTCCTCTCACCTTAAACCTATGCCCTCTGGTTTTGGATTCCCCTACCCTAGGGAAAAGACCTTGGCTGTTTATCCTTCCAATGCCCCTCATGATTTTATAAATCTCTACAAGATGACTCCTCAGCTTCCGATGCTCCAGGGAAAATAGCCCCAGCCTATTCAACCATTCCCTATAGCTCAAGCCCTCCAATCTCAGAAACATCCTTGTAATTTCTTTTCTGAACCCTTTCAAGCTTATCAACAAATTTCCTATAGCAGGAAGACCAGAACTGAATGCAATATTCCAAAAGTGGCCTCACCAATGTCCTGTACAGCCATAACATGATGCCCCAACTCCTATACTCAATGAATTGAAAGAACCATGGATGCTGGAAATCAGAAACAAAAACAGAAATTGCTGGAAAAGCTCAGCCGGTCTGGCAGCATCTGTGGGGAGAAATCAGAATTAACGTTTAAGGTCCAGTGACACTTCCTCAGAACCGCAGTTAACTCTGATTTCTGTCCTGTACTTGTAGAGCCATAAAGTCACACAGCGTGGAAACAGACCCTTCAATCCAACCAGTCCACCACCACGATAATCCCAAACTAAATTAGTCCCACCTGCCTACACTTGGTCCATATCCCTCCAAACCTTTCCCAAACATGCCAAATGCCTTCTTTACCACCCTGTCTACCTGTGACTTCACTTTTAAGGAACTATGCACATGCACGTCCTAGGTCTCTTTGTTTGCAACACTCCCCAGAACCTACCATTGACTGTAGAAGTCCTGCCCTGGTTTGCCTTACCAAAATGCAACACCTCACATTTAAATTAAACTCCATCTGCCTATTGGACCATCTGATCAAGGTTCCGAGATAACCTTCACTGGCCATTACACTAGCCTTCTTGTCCTAAGACTGTGCCCCTGAGTTTTAGACTGGCTAGCCAGGGGAAAACAACTTCAATGTCTACTCCTGTCAAGCCCTAGTCAGTTCAGTGATGGTGGTCTGGAGGAAGCCGAAGAGCCCATTCCGGTACAAGCGAAGAATCACTGAGCGCATGTGCAGACTCGGAGTCTCGTCAATTTCACAGGAGTAATAATGGGACAACACTGACAATGTCACCAGCGCAAAATCCGGGGAAATGATCGCACATTCACCTCATTCAAGAGCAAATCTATATTAAAAGTGCCAACAAGCCTTTCAGACGGAAAACTTGTACACGACTGAGGCGAGCGAGTGATATGAAACAATGTGTGACTTTGCAAATAATTAGCATCACCGTCCTTTCCTGCTTAATTTCCCACCCATTTAAAGGCCTTTTAAATTACAAAGAAATCGAGTAAATCGAGTCTCATTCTTCCGTCACAAATCGAATCCCTTCCGGATTTCTCGCCGTAAACATAAAACTTAGGGAACGAACAACAAAAACAACGACAATTAGGTAAATACAAAATCTGTTTTTTTTTATGGTTTAGGTCATTGACACTGATTTACAAAAAAAAACCACACTCCTTGGAGCACGCTTGCGTTAAGCAGCTTGAGCACGTATGTAGTGTAACAAATCCGCTTCAAGTCTGAGATCTAGGCTGAGGAACAAAAGCGTACATTTTAAAACAAAACTATCAATTATATTCACAATTAGTTTTATATCTAACAACACTTAAAATTGTTCGAGTGCCAACAACAGAATTCACAAAACACGCCTGTGTCATTATCACCCAACTCAGGGTCTCAGTTTGTCGATTTAAAAAAGCCCAAGGATGAAAAGCTCGCTTGCTTCATAGGGGAGTGGAGGGGTGTGGGGGGGGTTGCTATTCGGCTGCAGCGGCCGCACACTTCGTTTTCAAGTTTCCCTCACACTACTGTCTCGTAGTCCCAGCAAAGTCTGACATGTTGGGTTTCTCCTGGGCTGGGGTAACAGCAGTAATATCTCCCGTAGGGCACACTGTCCCGGGGGGAGTAGACCACGCTGTCCCGGGTAGAGTAGACACTGGTGTAGAAGGCGCTGTCCCGGTTGGAGCAAAGCCGTGCGAAGGCGCAGTAGTTGAAGACGCCGGATGGGTAGTAGGTCTCTAGGTACCTCCTGGCCGCCTCTTGGTCGCTCTTGCGGATCAGGCTCCTAGAGTCCACAGAGAAACCTCCTTCCTCGACTTCGGGGGTCTGGGTCCTGGTGGAGTTCTTGGATACGTCCTGCCAGCTGCCCTCGACGCTCGGGGTAGCCAGGAGCTCGCCTTCGGTATCCCCTCTGTTCCGAGCACCACACAGGGCTGCCGGCCACTTGGAGAATCCATCGGTCTTCTTGGCCAGCAGGATGGCAGCCAGACCGGGCAGAAAGATAGCAGGCCCGATCGCAATGAGCGGAATATCCCCTAGAGTCTCGCCTCTCACTCCGGACACTGTGAACATGAAGCCAAAAACCAGGAAGACACTCACCAGAGCCACGACCAGCCCTGTCCTAGGGTTGATGTTGTCTGCTCTCATTGGGGAGTTTCTTGTCACAGAGGTCGGTGAGATAGGTGGTCCCCTTTCTGTCTCTCTGGGATTGCACACTCCTCTTGCAATCCTCCAATCTCACAGGATATGATGCCACTGTGAAGCCTGAAATGTTTCAGACTGGCTGTCCCGTCTGATAACCTGCAAATGACACTCAGCAAACCGACCGAAGCTCCTCAGTCACCGAGTCTCATTGTAGCAATCAAAAATTCTGGCATTACAAAAACTGAGCTGTCAGGAGTGTGTGTCCATGTGCCAATCAGCCAGAAACTGGAGTGCCAACACTGACAGGATCATCTTCTCGTCCAAAGTCATATCCTTTTACATTTAATTTTGCTTAAACTGTTTTTATAGATCATACAGGCCACGCTGTCTGCCAATATCCCCACTAGAGACTGCTGAGTTCCAGGTCTTTCATTAAAATACACTGCCCAGTTTAAGAAGATGTTTACACCTCTCCTGCTCTCACCACTAATATCCCGTGCTTGTGCACTAACGCCCCCCACCCACTTGATATGAGGTATTGAAAGAGAATTCTTTGCACCACAAACATATTTAACTGTATCTGGGTTAAATAACAAAGACATATTTCTGTATTTGAGCCGGTTAACTGTAAGTACGTTGTAATGAAGCTTACAGAGGAACAAGAAGCAACACAGTAGGTAAAGACACAATGGGGCGTGTGTGTGTTATACATTGACCAGACTTGGAACTTCACTGCTCTAGGAGGGTTTTGGCAGCGGTAGGCAAGTGACAGGCGATTCCCCTGTGGGAAGTGATTAACTTTCATATGCAGAAAACAAACACACGGTGTACCGAGCGCTTCTCCTCCCTTTTAAGCACTTCCTCGACTCGGAACTGGCTTCTCCCAGCGTTGAGGAATGCGAGTGAAGTATCCCAGTAAAGGAACTTCTCTGACATCCCAAACACTTCCGTAATGAAAGCCCACTGAGAGACAAGCGGCCCGCGGCGGTTGCACCTGCTATATATATGGGCTCTCGACATTCCTGGGCAGTCGATGTGCAGTTAGTGGAAGCTTCCATATGTAGTGCGTGTTTTTTTTAATGTATGCGTCCAAAATGTTCAGCAGGAGGTGAGAAATGAGAATCGGAGGTATTTAACAAAAGCATTTATTCCATTCGTGCAGCACCTTACACTAGTCAACATGCTTCATCGCCCCTCTCTATTTCTGCAATACCCTTTAAATGCTACACCTTTCCCAGATTTCTGCGCTCCTCTAACTCAGCATCTCTGATTTTAACCCCACAACGTTTGGCAGCTATGCCTTCAGTAACCCAGCCTTATTGTTTGGAATTCCTCCGTTAAATTTTTGCTTCTCTCCTCTACTGTAAGAGTCATAGAGTCATACAGCACAGAAACAGACCCTTTGGTCCAACCAGTCCATGCGGAACATAATCCCAAACTAAACTAGTCCCACCTGCCTGCTCCTGGCACATATCCCTCCAGACCTTTCCTATTCGTGTACTTACTCAAATATCTTTTAAATGTTGGTCCTGTGCCCTCATCCATCACTTCCTCAAGAAGTCCACTCTATGAGCGAACCACTCTCTGTGTAAAAAGTCTGCCCCTTATGACTTTTTAAAATCTCTCTCCTGTCACCCTCCACTCACCTTAAAAATATGCCCCCTAGTCTTGAAATGCCCCCATCCTAGGGAACAAAGATTTACCATTAACCCTATCTACATCTCTCATGATTTTATAAACCTCTATGAGGTCACCTCTCAACCTTCTATGCTTCAGTGAAAAAAAGTGCCAGCCTATCCAGCGTTTCTATATAAGTCAGAGTTTGAGTTTGGGGAGGCAATGGCCGAGTGGTATTATCCCTGGACTATTAATCCAGAGACCCACATAATGTCTGGGGACCCAGGTTCAAATCCCACCATGGCAGATGGTGGAATTTAAATTCAATAAATATCTGGAATTAAGAATCTAATGATGACTATGAACCCATTGCTGATCATCAGGAAAAACCCATCTGGTTCACTAATGTCCTTTAGGGAAGGAAACTGCCATCCTTACCTGGTCTGGCCTATATGTGACTCCAGACCCTCAGTAAGATGGTTGACTCTTAACAGCCCTCTGGGCAATTTCGGATGGGCGATAAATACTGGCGTAGCCAGTAGCCGAGAATGAATAAAGGAAAAAAAATTTCAGACCCTCTGTGTAAAATCCTGGTAAGTCTCTTTTGAACTGTCTCTAGCTTAGTAACGTCTTTCTTATAACAGGGCAACCAGAACCGGACACAGTGCTCCAGAAGACGTCTCACCAATATCTTATACAACCTTCCCAACGACTAAGCTTAAAGGACAGAATATTAAAAGTTTTGATTTGAATAGCTCTGATATTTATTAGATCAAGAGATGGTGTCGCAACTGTTGCCCACTGCTACATCATTTCAACAGAGAGAGAGACTACAGAATCCTCTGGTGCAAAGGGATCTTGTACCTTGTACCTGCATTACAAATAGTTAGCATGCAAATACAGCAGGTTATTAGGAAGGCAAATGGAATATTGGCCTTTTTGACAAGGTGGCTAGGTAGTAGCAATATCACCGCATCACTAACTCCAAGGCCCAGGCTAATGTTCTGGGGACATGGGTTCAAATTCCTCCATGACTACTGGTGGAACTTAAATTGAATTGGACTATAAAGCTAGTCTTAATAATTGTGGCATCACCACTAACATCAGTTATAGAGTCGTAGGGTCATAAAATTTTACAGCACAAAAATAGAACTTTCGGTCCAACTCCTCCACATTGACCAGATATCCTAAATTAATGTAGTCCCGTTTGCCAGCATTTGGCCTATATCCCTCTAAACCCTTCCTATTAAAATACCCACGCAGCTGCCTTTTAAATGTTGTTATTGTGCTCACCTGTACCAGTTCCTCTGGCAGCTCATTCCATACATGCACCACCCTCTGGATGAAAAAGTTGCCCTTTAGGTCCCATTTAAACCTTTCTCCTCTCATCTTAAACCTATGCCTTCTAGTTTTGGACACCACTACCCTCAGAAAAAGATCTTGGCTACTCGTCATATCCATGCCCCTCATGATTTTATAAACCTCTATAAGGTCACCCCTCAGCCTCTGATGCTCCATGGAAAACAGCCCCAGCCGATGTGACCTCTCCCTATAGTTCAAATTCTCCACACTCAGCAACAACCTTGTAAATCATTTCTGCACGCTCTCATGTTTCACAACATTTTTCCTATAGCTGGGAGACCAGAACTGAACACAGTATTCCAATTGTGGCCTAACCAATGTCCTGTACAGCTGCAACATGACCTCCCAACTCCTACTCAATGCACTGACCAGTAAATGCAAACAGACTAAATGCCTCCTCCACTTTTCTACCTGTGACTCTACCTTCAAGGAACTATGAACCCGCACTTCAAGGCCTCTTTGTTCGGCAACACTCTCCAGGACCCTACCATTAAGGGTATAAGTCCTGCCCTGATTTGCCTTTCCAAAATGCAACACCTCATATTTATCTGTATTAAACTTCATCTGCCACTTCATTGTAAAACTCATTAATGTCCTTTAGGGAAGGAAATCTGTTGTCCTTATTGATCTAGCTTATTTGTGACTCCAGACCCACGGCAATTTGGTTAACTCTTAACTGCCCTTTGCAGTAGCCTGTCAAGTCACTCAATTCAAAAGCAATTAGGAATGGGGAAATTCTGGCCTTGCCAGTGATACCCATATCTCATGAAAGAATAAAAAGTAACAGTACAGGGCGTTGCTGAGACTACACCTAAAGAATTGTGCAAAGTTTTGGGCTCTTTATTTAGGAAGGCAATGAGGCAATCATTCAACTGATTCCTGAAATAAAAAAGTTTTCTAATGAGGAAGGGTTAAGCACATTGGGCCAATATTCATTGGATTAGAGATGATGTTTTGGAAATATATAAGACACTGTGAAAATTTTGACAGGGTGACTGCTGAGATAACATTTCCTCTGGTGTGAAATGTAGAACTAGGGGCACAATCTCAAAATAAGGGGTCACCCATTTAAGACAGAGATGATGAGGAATTTCTTCCCTCAGAGAGTCATTATTGTTTGAGATTCTGCACCCAAAAAGTAGTGGATGCTGGGTGACTTAATATATTCAAGGTTGAGTCAAATAAGACTTTTGATAGACAAGGAAATCGAGGGTTAGGAGGCAGACAGGTAATTGCAGTTGACATAATCAAATCAGACATGATCTTATTGAATGGCAACAAAGGTTTGAAGATCTGAATAGTCTACACCCTTCCTATTTTTTAAATTCTTATGTTTTGACTTAATAACTGATGATTTTGGAGAACTCAGCTGGAGTACTCTACAACAAATTTAGTTTATATGGTATCTTTAGCATAGAAGAACATCCATTGACACTCCATAATTAAGCATCAACTGTCAGGCAGCAGAGCTAGCCACTGAGCCACTGTACACCCAATGGAAACAGTTTCTCTCTATCTATACAATAGAATTTATTTTTATTGTACCCTTCATGATGTTGAACACCACTCCTTTATTTAAGGAAGATATTATTTCATTGGTAGCAGGAGAAGGTTCCCTAAGAAATGGTATGGAGGGATTGTCTTATGAATGAAGAGTGAACAGGTTGGGAATCCACTCATTGGAATTTAGAAGAATGAGGAGTGATTTCATTGAAATATATAGGATTCTTAAGGGCTTGACAGAGTAAATTCTGAGAGGATGTTTACCCTCATGGAACAGTCAGACCAGAGATCACATTCTCAAAATAAAAGGGTAGCAATTTAAGACCGAGATGAGGAGGAATTTCTTCTCTCAGGGGATTCTCTCAGGTCTTTGGAACCTGTTGTCACAGAGAGCTGTGGGATCAGAGTCCTTGTGTATATTTAAAGCTGAGATAGATAGATTGTTGATCAGTAGGGGAATGAAGGGTTGTGGGGAAAGGGCAGGAAAATGGATGTGAGAATGATCCCATTGAATGGCAGAACATGCTGAAGGGGCCAAACAGCCTGCCCCATTCCTATTCCTTATGATCTTATCAAATCTCCTCTCAACCTTCCCTTCTC